TTAGCTTCCTCTGTGAATTCAGCTAGCTCAGCAAATCTATTGCCAAAAAGTATATTTGTGAGTGAACTATCTTTGTTAATTTTATTTATTTTAGTACCTCTTAAGTCACCTTTTTGAGGACTAAGTTTTCTTTTAATATTGACATAGCGTTTCATGCCTGTTTGGATTTTAGTTTTATTTTTTGCACTCGCTAAGTCGGGAAATGCAGGCGATACTGCTGAAGACACAATGTTTTATAAGCTTTTATCGGTTTGTATAGTTTTGTGTAGCAACTTGTTTGGTGCGTCTATTACTAGATAAGCATTACGGTTGTTTGGGATTTGAGCATTTAAGTTTAAGTAGTGCAAAAAGAAAATAAACGAAAATCCGACAAAGCGCGCGCTATTTTCAAATTAATATTTTATGCACATTTCAGTTTTCGAATTGCTTTTTGTCGATAATTTAATTCTTTTTGTGTTTTTATAATAATTACAAAAGCGGTTTTTACAAAAATAATAAATTTAAATAGTTTTAAAACTATGAATTTTAAATTTTTCGGAGATCGTGTTGAGAACACGTCCGCTTACTAGAAATGTTGTAAATATTGTCACCACACATTTGAAACGGCTTTAAAGTGCAGATCCAAGGAAATGTGGACTGATGAACTGCCAGTGGTGCTACTCGTTCTGAGAAACACATACAAAAACGACTTCTGCAGAGATGGTTTATGGTTCGACAGTTAGATTACCATATGAGTTTTTCGAAAGTTCCAGTAAAGACATTTCCGATTCAGGATTCGTATCATCACTGCGAAACGTAATGTAGCAACTAATGGAGATACCTACTACAAAGCACTCCATATCAAAAACATTTGTACAATGTACTTATGTAAGTTAACATTCCCTACACATAAATATTATTTTATTATTATTTATAACCCAACACATTCGACATAAATATTGTTTTATCATTACTTATAAATTATTTTACCTGTTTACAACAGTGCTGAAATGTTCTCAAATTACCGTTGACAGGTTATATAAAATTTGCTTACTGGAATCGGGTTGCAGCATGTGAACTGCAACTAAGCAACTTTTTAAAGCATAAAAAATTAGTCTAAGAATGGTAAGATTTAAGAATGGTAGATTTAAGAAATTAAAAATTAAAATACACAGATTTTTTTCTCATACGAAAACGGAAAGTCGTTTCATTTAACTTGTACATTAATGTATGTACTCATGTTTACCTACGCGATGATACTGTTCGACCATGTCTCAAAGCACCTAACGATGGACCATTTAAGGTAACTAATCGCGACGATAAGCTGATGATTACTCTACGGAAAAAATACAGTACGTGTTAGTATAGATTAGTGTTGTTCACATTATTTGAAGTTTTTAAAAAACCGAAGTTCTTCGATTATTCGAATATTCGCATTTCAACGAAGTCTTCGAAGTTGGAAAAAACTTCGAAGTTTTTGTAAATTTTTGTTCTCGAAGTCTTCGAAGTTTAAGTGTAGTGAAAAACTTCGAAGACTTCGTAAGCAAAAGGTGAATTAAGAACGCAAAATGCAAACAAACGTGCATCACACAAATTATTTGAGGGATGAAAGCATTTGTTTTGTTTGTACGGTTTTATGTTTTTTTTTTTGTAATCTATGTAGAAAACTAAAAACATGTTTTTTTGTTTTATTTTAATACATAAAATTTATTTTATTATTAAATATGTATTATAATATATATTATTATTAAATATGTTATTATTAAAGTTTATCACTACACTTAAACTTCAAAGACTTCGAGAACAAAAATTCACAAAAACTTTGAAGTTTTTTCAAACTTCGAAGACTTCGTTTACTATTCGAAAACTTCGAGTACTTCGTAAATTCGAATATGAACAGCACTAATATAGATCGGGTCAAAGCTGCCTATCTTTGTGGTGACGAGTAAGAGACAGACCAACAGCAGACAATACAACAGACTTTTCTGTATCAAAAAACAGAAAAAAATAACCAGAAATATCTTGTAAATAAAACTTAAACATCATCTAGCGGCAGGCAAATTAAATTTCCAGTTAGGTTTGGTGAAACTTTATAAGACGATCAACAAACTTCCATAGCATCACAAATTTTATTGTGATATTGCTTCGTCTAGTCTTTGGAGAGATGTGGCACACGACTCTGCAAACGCAAAAGCAATCTTAGCTTAAAGATCTTGTTCAAAAATATACACTTAAGGCGTGCTCAACAGCGCTGAACATTCATTGTTCGCTTGACTGTACCAGCACCCTCACTTCGTGAACTATTATAATAAATTGTTACTAATAATACAAATAAATTTAAGTGATATTAAAAATTTATGTTTTACTTTTTTCTTTTTCTTGATGAATAATCTCCATAGATTTTTATCTTGTTCATAAGGTAATACTAAAATGTTAATAGAAAAAATCAAATTTTCATTAATAATATTTTTAATAATGTGAAACTGCATATTTAGTACATTTTTGATTATTTAGGGGGTGGAAACTAAAATCCAAATACTAATTCATCTTGTCTCTCTTTTAATATGATCGTTAAATACAGGGTTATTAATTTTAAAATACATATTTTTTTTTTTATGAAAATAATATTTGAAGATTCTGATACTGGTGGTTGGGGTCCATGGAGTGATTGGACGCCGTGCTCAACTAATTGCTTTGGGGGAACACGCAATCGTTATCGGTTTTGCGACTCACCGCCTCCACGTTATGGTGCAAAGTTTTGTGAAGTAAGACAATTTTTAACATAATTTTATTTATTACATCATTTATAAAATGATTACAGAATAATAATTAGATTTTAATAAATTTTCTTTATTATACCTTTTCTTTATATAATTTTAGAATTTATTTAATTTTGATACACAAAACAGTTTTCTTTTCAAATTAATTATTTCAGAAAATAAAATATTTAAATTTTGAATCTTTATTGAAGGGTACTTCTGTTCAAACAGAAACTTGCAATAATAATACCTCACAAACTTGGAATTGCATATATGAAGGTGGTATTGAACTGAATGCAATAAAACTTACACAAAATTTACAAGAAACTGGATTAAAATGCCGATGTGGTTGCATTATTCATCTCACTTCATCAAAACAAAGCCGTATAATAACTGCAACAACTCAGACTTGTCCAGGAAAATCATTTTGGTTAATTCAGGTCTGTAAACATATAAAAAAAATTATTTAATTGAAATTAATTTTTAAGAATTTCCATGTGTACAGTACTAGTTATTTACTTTGTACTGGTCTTGTAAAAAACAATTGTGTTAAAAAACTGTTACGATTAAAGATTTCATAATAGGTCTGTTCCCATATTTTTTTAATGAAACTCAAGTAAAGGTAAAAATTAGAATAAAATAAAATAGCTCGGAGCTTTCAAGTAATCGAAGCTTTCGAGTACATCATATGTTTTTATTTTTACTGACCGTTCTAACGACACGGATTCGTCGTTTGATTGTAAAGAAATTAATTTGATGGGAAATTAATTTATAAATATTAAAGTAAAATATATTAATTTTGACTCAAAATTTTTGAAGAAAAATTTCATAAACGTATAATCTGTTAGAAGTCGATCACAGCCGCACGTGATTGTTTAACTTGAATATTTGATATGGCAGATTTGACTGCTACGGCAGCCTATTATAGCAGAGTTATCCGCAAAGGTGAGCATAATGTTACTTGTACATTAGGACGAAGGAAGAATAATAGTAGTAAGAAGCTAATTAAGAGTATTTGCTTATTTTATGGATCATTATGAACAGAAACTTCACTCACTCATTTGGGTAGAAACCGAAATTAATAACTTTAAACAATCTCGTCATGTTATGCAAAAAATTAATACCTGAAGAAGAAAAATATTGAATTGCAGACTTATATTTGAGTATGCGTAATTCGAAGTAGTGGAATTTTCTTTGTAAAATAGAAATAATAGTAAAAAATTATTGTGTTTAATTTATGAAGAGGGAAAACTGGCTTTGTTATCGATTGCTAGCTAATTACACCAAAAACGACGATCAAATGAATAGAAGGCTTAAAATTATCTGTAGAATGTATATTTTTCAAACATGTTCAAATAAAAAAAAAATTAAACATTTTCATGTGTATATTCAATAGAGTACTGCACGCGCGCATTTGATTTCAGTTTCAAAGCATTCTATTGTGTTTAGAATGGTAGCATACTCTCACTCTCAACGAACAAATACGAATGTATAGGCATAAAAAAAAAATGGAATGGAATAAATATTTGTTTCGTTTGTTTAGAGTACTCTAACTCTAAACATTCTAAAAGTAGTTGAAGTAGTTGGGAGTACTCTAAGCATTTGATTTTCAGTTCATACAAAAATTATGTGTTTTTAAATAGTAAGACACAAATTTATTTATTTAAGTTTTTTTATTAATTAAATATTATTTAAAATGTTGATAATAGTAATTTGTTGATTACATATATAATATGACTTAATATATTAATTAAATATAAAAAAAATTTTGAACAAAAATTTATTTAAAAAAATTATAAGTTTTTTTACAGTTTTTACAGTTCACAAATTTAATTTAATATGCAAATTAAATGTTGAGCATCGTCTGACTTAATTCCTCTTTTTCAAGATTGTTGTGTAAAACATGATTTGATTGATAGATCTTTGATTAGATGAAATCAATGTTCTTTTTTCTGATATTAAGTTCCGAGCAACTGAAAAAAACCCTTTCCGAAGATGCACTACTTGCTGGTGTTGCAAATAATTTACAAGAAACTTTGTAAAGTAGGAATTCTGAAGGAATTCTTAAGAAATTTCTAAAAATCTCTCTTGTCATAAATAGATATTTTTACCATATCATGCATAAAATTATTTTCCAGGAAAAGGTAAATATGTGAAGCAATTTATTTTGTTACATCATAAAAAACTATCGACAAAGAAGGAAATTCTGCGCAAACCGTTTTTTTAAGTTAATCTTTTGCATTAGATCTACCTGTTTAAACAACTTTTGCATTGAAAATAATAGAAAATTAAACCTAATTTACGTGCTTTGTTATTGCAATTATTGCAAATCTCTACGCACATCCAACTTTCTTTACTTTTGCGCAGGCAACCAAACGCACACAAAATAAATAAAATATTTCTTTGCAAAAATAGAATTATTTGAAATACTCTAAAAGTGATTGAAATACTCTAAAAGTGATTGAAATACTCTAAAATATTTGTTTATTTGATTTTAAAATTCAAAACAAACGATTATAGAGAACAAATCAACCCCCATTCCATTGAAACGAATGCGGCGGAAACGAATTCTATCGGACCGTTTCTGTTATTCGTTCGTATTCGCTTTAGAAATAATTTGTAAATATGGTACACATTTGAAAATAAAACGAATGACCGCAAAAACGAATGTTTTGATGCAGCACTTTAATATTCAATATACTTTCAAAACAGTTTTTTTTAAAACAGAAAAGCAAGAAAAGGAAATATACATATGTAGCAATAATTGATTTTCAAGTAGCGTGCGTTTAAACATTCGCCAAATAACTATTTTTTTTAATTTGATTTCTTGTTCTTAAAAAAATAATTTAAATAATATAAATATTTATAAATAAATACATATATCTCTATTTAATGAAAGTAAAGAACACAAATGTAAAATTACCATTCATTTTATTAAAATTTTAAAGGCCGATGACGTAGAAAATATTAAACTTAACTTACAATACCTCCACTTATCGTGTTCCACTCAATACATCAAAGTACGAAATGGTCCATCATTGTCTTCAAATTTGCTCGCTGAATATAACTCTGGAAATTCTATTAAAGTGTTGAAAGAAATTAACTCCTCAAAAGCACAAATGTTAATTGAATTCAATTCAGGCCTTGATTTTGAATCGTCAACGAAGTTCGAAGGTATGATTAAGAAGTCGAATAGTTCTAAATATACATTATGCTCTGGAGGCTTTTTAGCAACCATACAACAGTTGAGTAAGTATTTTGAAATTAGTATTTCATAATTTTATTTACTAACAAAATGTTATTTATATCAAAATAAACAGATACTAAAAATCAGACTTCAAAATTATTTACTAACATAAATTCTATTACGAAAAACCGCGCTTTGCAAATATCGAAAACCAATCTGACAGTTGTTCATTTAAGTGCTTTTGTGTTCGCAGGAATTATAATAATTTTAAGCGCAATATTAGGTAAATATCTAACTACAAAAGTAAATAAATTAAAAATAAAATGTATTTATTTTACAAATTAAATTTTGTAATGAAATCAATATTATAATTTAAAGCTGCACACTATTTGGTAAAGTACCATAAATATAACATAGCCATTAAACAACACAGGGAAGACGACTCTCAGCTACATTCCTTATATTCATCAACAAATTATTTGCCATATCCTGTTATTCGAGCAATATCAGCCACCACACTTTTATCAGAAGTTGTTAGCTTTGTTAAGATCCGTCCAAAGAATAAGCCGAGGCGTTTAATATTACAAGAAAATTTGGAAGCAACTACTATATCCGAAGGCGATTTAAATGACCCGATTTTAGAATCAGAAGTGATCAACTCGTAAGTATTGTGTTAAAGGTTACCCTTATCTATACGGATTATGATAGTCCGATATATCAGTAAGGTGGTTAAGAAGTAAATATTAATATAATCTCTTCATTCAGTATGTTTAAAAAGAATTTTATATTATAATAAATCAAGTATTGAGAGCCAAATGTATATAGTTAAATATATAATTAAATTGACTAGATAAAACACTTTAAAATAGTCGCATAATTAACCTGAAACTGGCATAAGCATGTCTGTTAATGCCTTAAATGCCAAAGTTACTAATACCTTCCATTCCAAGTTCGTACGTATAATAACATGTGTTTATGGTCTATTTGTCATAATATTTTTTTCGTATAAATAAATTGTGACTATAATATACTGTTTCTAACTCTTTACGTAAGACAAAATATACTCTGGGGACAATTCTGATATCTAGGGTCTATATATGTATATATTTTGGCTGCGGAACTTTGTAAAGTCAGCTGTCTGAACAATCTGAACAATTTTTTTCATCAAGTACAGTTATTAAGACATCATGCTATATAATTGAATAATTGAATGAAATTCACCAACAATTATAACCGTTATCTGCAGTGTTCATCTGTACTTATTACTTGATTAATTTAAATAATATTTATACAAGTTGGTGCTAGATGGCGTGTGTAGATTTTGTTAGTGTAATTAACTTTAAGAATCAACCTTAAGTCCTAATATCTTGACATGTAAGCTAGCCCTTAAATTCAAAATCGCACTGTGTAACAGACAGAGTTCTTATTTGCGTACCCATGAGCGGCTTATTTTGGCTCATTCGGCTCACGGCTCATGAGCCGGCAAAAAACTCTTTTTATACGATGGCTCACGCTCACGAGCGAGCACAACTACAGAGCTCACGCTCACGAGCAAGAGCCGCCATTAAGTTATAAATGGACTCACGCTCGTGAGCAAGAGTATGAGCTGCGGCTCATGAGATCTCATGCGCCCAATTTAAGATTTTATTATTATTTTTTTTTTGTGAAAACATGTCATTAAAAAAAAATTTAAAATATTAATAATCTTGAACTAACTATAATATGGAAATAATCAAAGTTCTTAAAACAAACAATAAATATATTTGTATTGTTTGTTTGTGGAAAATAATAATATTTTATGAATTGTTCTAATGAATATTGTTCTAATATAAATAATAATAAGCTAAATTAATTTCAAATTATATATTTTCACATATAACGTTTATAAAAATAAATAAAGCAAATAAACTAATAAATCGCTTTTTATTAAATAGTTGAGCTCGTGAGCTTTCGGCTCGTGAGACCTTATGAACAGCTCTTCGATATGAGCAACTTGAAGGCTCACGCTGGTGAGCGGCTCTTCAATATGAGCCAATTATGGGCTCACGCTCATGAGCCAATTTTGGGCTCACATAAGAATTGGCTCTTGCTCATGAGCCTGAGCTGCTCATGAGTGAGCAAATACGAACCCTGGTAACAGATTGTAGTTCACAAAATTTATTTCAAGATTAGAATTGATCATGCAAAAATATAAAAATTGAATAAAGGGACCAATTGGGCGTGTTTTTAATCTTCTTTGTTGAAGCAAATTAAGGATATCCAGAAATGTTTAGTCGCATATATGTTATCACTATATCAGCATACGCAACTATTCTAAAAACTATACTTACTAATCTCTCTTTAGTTGAAAATTTTCGTATTTGATTTCGACGTGAATACAAGTAAATGAATACAAGATCACTACTCAAAAATATGTTGTGTTTTCAATTTATAATAATAAAAAGAATAATATATATATATTTTTAAAAAATGTGCGTGTTTTCTTAATTTCAATAACAAATCAAGTTGAAATCAAAACGATTAGTATAGAAATATCATCTGATATTACGATTGAATCGATTGATATTACGATTGAAAAATAACAGTAGTACAATATTGTATAGTACAATATTATGCTATTTTGAATAGTTTTAAAAAATTAATTTCATTTTTATGGAAAATAAAACAAAACTGTCATATTTCATATTTATAATCGAAAGTAGATATTTTGTCAAACCTCGAATCATTTTAATTATTGCAATTCCATTTTTTCATTTTTTGTTTTATTTATTTTGGCATTAAAACCCGAAGTATTTCTAATTAAACTATTTATTTTTTGCATTTCAATCAATATATTTTCGGTGTTCTACATTTTTACAATTTAAGCGTAGCTGTTATTTTATCTGTTAAACAAATTACAATGATAAGTCTTATGAACAATTATTTTTGCTCTTTAATAACAAATGTTACTTTTATCATTATTGGCAGCTGACATTAAAAAAAAAAAACTCTCGTGTGAGTACAATACAATAAACTTTGGATCACACTGTTGCGTACGTTGTTAAAATTATAAGGACTATTTTGATATTATTTTTACATCGAATTAATTGAATTTTTATTTTTTTGATAAAAACGATAAAAGTGAGAAGAACGTAAAATAACATATGTATATGTACATATATTTGTATTTATATTTGTATTACGTCTTTATGTAATTTATTTACACTATTAAAACTTATAAATTATGTAGATTTTAGTTTATGCAAATACTTAATTAAAATAATTTTTTACTTTATTAATGACTTAAATTTTTTTTTTTAATATAAGGCGCAGTGATGTTCACACCACTGAATCCAAAAATGTCATTAGTAAGTCTTTAAGTGATAATAAAGTAGACAAAACAGATGAGTGCTGTACTTATGCTGGAACATTGGACAAAAAATTTAGCAGAAAAAGTAATGAATCTAGTATATACTCGGGACTAAACTATATCCTCAACAATTCTTCAGCAGAAATAAAAAGACAAATTAAACATTCTGATTTTTATGACGCAGTTACATATAATATGCAAAATTCAAAAAACCTTTATGATCCCCAGCGTTCAAGTTCCGTCAATAATTGTAGCATTTTTGTTCAGCCAGATGCTTCTGGTGTAAGTATAAAATTAAGTAAATATAAAAACCTAAAGTTAACTTCTGTATGTTTCAGGGTTTTTATTCTCCTGCAAGTATTTTAAGTACCGCAACTATTCGAACCACAAATCTTAAGGAAAGTAAAGATAAACACAATCTGAAGAAATTATTAGGACGACCTGGTTCAGAGTTCTCACTTGAAACTCAAGAAGATTTGGAATTTGATTATTATGACTATAATGTTATTAATGCAGCTGCAGCTCCAGGATCTTATTTAGGAATGGATCCAGCATATTTAATATGGGTACCACCGTGCAATGATTTTGTTGATGTTGATGATAGTGATAATAAAACCAAAATTTTGCCTCAAAGGTTCGCTATTGAAAAAGAATGCACTTATAAAAAGACACAATTTCCCGAGTTTGAACAGCTTATAAGCTCTGCAACCAAAACCAATTACAGCGATAACAAAGTTAATGATTTGGTTAAAAACAATTCTATGGGGACTGCACAAGAAGAAAACGTTAAAAATAGTATTAACTTCAAAAGATCGTTAACAAAATTTACTACCACTTTTGGTAAAGAAGAACAAATTCAATTAAAAAAACAATCGGTTTCAATGGTTTCAATAAATCAAAATGAAGATATAGTTCCATTGCACGTGTTTAGAGCAACAAATTCAGCACGAAACCTTTTAGCTGTAGATGAAATATTCGAGGACTTAACAACTATGTGTGATTCTTATATAGAAAAAGAAACATCCGTCGAAAAGTCCCACATATCTGATTTACACAATGTTTTATCTTTAGATGATATTCACTTTGCTGACGACAGTGAAAATGAAATAAATCAATGACATAGCTTTGAAATATGTATAAATATAATGCTTTTGAAGGAATGTAATTGTATTGTACCTATATAATATTTACTTTTAAGCAACACAACAAAAATAATTCTTGAAAAATTCAACAAATGCAGTAAACATATCCGTTTGATTATTATACATACATATATTTAATATTATAACTTCACATATTTATTTAGTTGGTGTTCTCAACATTTAAGGCACAAATATATGAAAGCTTGGAAATACATTTACAACTAATAATGGCTTGAACGCAGAAAGAGTTAGGCCAAGAGTTAACCAAAGAATTGTATTTTAATATAAAGATTTTTACTATAAAATATAGATGAATTGCATGTTTTTCTTACATAATTTATCGCGCTAAATAGTCAGTGGTGCTAAACAGATATCATGAAAAATATATGCGCTTATGAATTTTTCGAAGTAAATATCTTAATTGACTCCATGTCAGCGACATATTAGGTCTGTTTCATGAGCTACTCGTAAGAACTTTGAGTAACACTGTGTATACACAAGTTCGTTCCACCAGCAAATTTTCTAGCAAATGAAAGCATCTGAGAGAGCGTAACATTCCTGTCGAAATTTTAAAATACTACACAGAGTACTCGTACATTTTATTTCAAGTAAAGTTTGTGTTGATGCGTGAATCAGCTGTTTTGGTTTGTATTTAAATTTTTGAATTGTTTCTTTGTGCGGCACTGGTGTTCTCACCAGATTTTAAACAAAGCTGTTAAAAATCTGTGTAAAGAGCGTAATTTAGCATTTTATTTGTGTTACTCGTATTTTACTTGAGTTTTACTACGAGTAGCTCGAAGAACAGACCTATTGTAATTACGATAATAATCAACGCTAGAAAATAGCATAGTTGTAGGAATGCGTCCAACCTAGTTCTATTGCAATTGAAATACAAAGTTTCGTTTCAGCTTTTAGTCTTGTGTGTTTGATATTTCATGAGTATATTAAACAGACCAAATTGCTGTCAAGAGTTGTAATTTCTACGTTAGGTTTTTTAGTGAAAATTTGGATTTAAAGAAAATTATGAATTAAAAAATTTTCAAAAAATTTGAAGTTTCTTTGCAATTAAGGTGTCGCCAGAGTAATGTTAGAGTTGCACGCCTCAAAAAATAAAGCAATTTATGTGAAGATGTGCATCTTAACATTTTATATTATAACAAATCTTATTTCATTTGGAAAATACATATATTGCATATACATAATTTTATATATATATATGAATTCGCTAAATGAAACCGTTTTTCCGAATTTTATTCTTGAACTTTTGTTCAACAACTCACAAATTAGTTAAGCTTTTGATACTTCTTAATGAAAACTGAATACTATACATTTATTATAACGCGTTTTCGATGGCTCGTAAGTGTGGCAAAAAACATTAAACTGCTGGCCTTTACTGGCCGAAATGTACGCAAAACACTATTTTCTCTACCTAGGCCAGTAGTTGTATACTGGCCACATACTTCGGTCTATGAAGAAAAAATAGGTGAACTACTGTGAACCTTCATTGGAAACTCCAACAAATATTGCAATCACATATCATATGTAAACAGAAATTCAAACAAAATATAAAAATTTCATTTAAGTTTGGAAAAAAAACCAAAAAATTGAAAAATACATAAAAATCTTAAAAAATAATGGAGAAATCGTAAGTACAAAGCACATTGAATTTTTTAATATGTTAGTTATTAACAAGGAACATTTATCTTATTTTATTTTTATAAAAAATTAAGTTTGCTTGATTAATGTGCACATATGAAAGATTTGCTATTAGTGAAAACAAAACCTTTGACAGATTGATAGATGCCAATCTCTCGTTTAGTGAATATAGACCAGAATGCATTTATTTCCACATTGCTAGCCACCGAAACCGTCTATAGTTATCAATACAATAAATTTAACAGTTAAGTATCTCGTTTAACAATATAAGATTATAAAAATGTTAGAATTGTTACAAACATGCGAATTGTATGAGATTTAGCTTAAGTGTTGCAAAATTGAAAATAGTGGTTTGTATTCACCGCCGCTGCCTAATTGTTTTAAGTATTATTACAGATAAATGATTTATTTGGGTCGTCATTGGCCGCGTCGAGTAGCTTCCGCCAGTCAGATTAGTTGCTTTCTGACGCCAGTTGGTAGTACCGAGCGCTCCCAAATCGTTGGTCACCTCGTTCTTCCACCGAAGATGCGGACGTCCTCTACCGCGTTTTCCACCTGCGGGTACTGCTTTTCACACGACATGACCAAGCCAGCGTAGCCGCTGAATTTTTATGCGCTTAAGTATGTCAATGTCGCGGTATAGTTCACACAGCTCATCTTTCTATTTAATTCGATACTCGTCGCCAACGTGTAAAGAACCATAGATCTTCCGAATAATTTTTCTCTCAAATGCCCCTAACACCTTCTCATCACTGTTGATAATTGTTCAAGCTTTTGCACCATACAGCAAAACAGGCATGATAAGAGATTTGTAGAGCGTGATTTTTGTTTGTCAAGAGAGGCTTTATTTCTCAATTGCTTACTTAGCCCGAAGTAACAACTGTTGGCAAGAGTGATTCTTTGTTGAATTTCTAGGCTGACGTCATTTTTGTTGTTTACACTGGTTCCCAAATAAACAAAGTCTTTCACAACTTCGAACTTATAATTGTTAACAGTGACGATGGTCCCACAATGCACATGAGATTTCGTTGTTAACAGAAATTACTTTGTTTTGTAGATAATACAAAAAGCGAAGTCAAACACTATATTTAATATTCACTTAGATGTACTTTTATTATCAAAAATAATAATTTACAATAATAATTTAAAATAATACAATAATACAATAATACAAACAAAGAATGAATGAATGAATTTGCATCACTGTTGAGTATGCCTTAAGTGTGGTTTTTAAACGAAATCTTTAAGTTTAAAATTGCTTTTGCGATTGAACGACTCGTGCTTCACAAGTGAGAAAACTGAACAAATGACACCAATAATAAAAAGTCAACTGGTAGTGATTGTTACGTATCCAGCTTGTGTGTGCAGTATGTGTGGTGATTGCTTGTACGCTGGCAAGCCCAGTATGCTCGCCGGTATCGGGGTGAGTCTTTTACCATGCTCCATCACACTTGGATCGTAAACAAAAAAAATAATAACAAATGCAAAAAAAACTAAAAATTCAACTAAATTTTATTTTTTCATTTTTTACTATGTAACATACTTAAATAAAATCATCAAAAAAAAAAAAAATAACAAATTCACATGTAAATTTCATATTTTTATTAATGTTTCTATTAAAACAAATAATGTTTATAAACGAATGACCCTGTAATCTAAAATAGGTTTTGATTAGTTTTTTGCAGCTAATAAAAGATATGTAAATTTGTTGTAACTATTCCTGTTTGTCTGCATAAACAAATTTAAGAAAAATATTGTACACGCATTTTTATGTGATGCGGTTACTTTTATCATGGAGTAAAAATATTATAGTGTCACAATGACTCAATTTTTAAATTTTCAGCAACAGGCACGGGAGGGCGGAGTGAAGATATTCCTTCTTTATGCGCTGCTGCTAGATCGGCCGCGCTTATGCTTGTTCATTCTCAAAATTTTACTATTATTGAATGAAGGACAAAAATGAAAACAAAAAACAGATTTGCTTGTTACGTATGCAGGCCGTACAAGAAAAGAAGTCAAATTAGTTTTTGGTGTAATTATTTGTTTTTGCAATTAATGCTTGGCACCAGCAAGCAGTACGTAAAAATTGCATGCATTTAAAATCACTTTATAATGCAAATAAGAGAAACGTCCCTACTTGTTTGGAAGTATACTGACCTACATATATATATGTATGTGTATAAATGTATATTTATTAACATAAACATTTATAAACATTGGAAAAACATGAATATTTTTTGATCTTATTTTAGGAACATTTGAAGCAAATAAAACCGATTTCAATTTTTTGTTTTAATCAGGTATAATAACAGTTATATGTATGTTATATTAGTATTAATTAAAATAAAATAAATGTATGTAATTGACCGTGTGCGAGTTCAAGTAATTGATGGTAAATTGAGGAAAATAGTAAGTTATGTCCGTATGGCAGCGAATGTTGATATTTACCAGAATTTCGAGTAGGGTAAATTAGGTAAATTAGGTATTACCATTGTGAACATTTTATAAGATGTGTAATAAAAAAATAAATAAATTTGAAAACTTTTAACATAAGTGCAGTGTAAAAAGTCCCTAAGAAATTTCAATTTATTGCAAAATCTTCTTCGGTATGAAGCAAATACGAATGAAGCGACTTCGGCAGAGATTTGAGTGATTTGGGTACCCAACAGTGACGATTGCTCTAAGGTGCGGAGGTGTGCGGTGAACACCCTTACATAATTTGCAAAATGTCAAATAACATAGGTATATGAATTTATTAAGTATCTTCACATCAAGAATTATTATTATTTATTACATTTCCATATATATATTTTTAAAGTTTTAGCAAAAACAATCAAATATAATTGTCTCTGAAAACTCAATCAATTTGCTTCTGTTAGCTGCTATACTTGTTAGTTGTGCTCATATATTTGCAGCTCAAATCACAGAAAATTTCTATTATATTTCGTCTCTCCCCTTTGTATGCAAAGAAGTTGGCCGCACATTCATACGTTGCATATGAACAAAATAATGTGCGTGTGCTCCCGTTCGTAATATCAGAAATAGAGATTTATATAGTGGGAATTGTATGAGAGTAATTTTCTGTTCTACTCGAATATCAACTGCATGCATACGAATCCAACATGATGATTTGCCTAAGTGGTTGCATGAGCGGCTGAAGTTTGCAGCTCATCTCATCATACATTTCGATCACATTTCGTCTCACCCCTTTTAACAGTAGCACCCACGAATTTCTGTCGCTTACTGTGCGGAGTACTTGTCCGCACATTTATACGTTGCAAGTGGATTTGATTTTGTTTGATCACTGCATAAACATGTATGGTTCTGAGTTAAAACGCTTTTGTTTGAAAAAAGTTGGTTTGATGTTACGAGAATTATGTGAAAAGTTTTGTTTCTTCCATATTGATATAATATTAAAGTTATATATAAATTATTAATTTAATTTATTTAATATGTTATTTTGTTAATGAATTGTTGATATAATATTACGAATATATTGTTGCCTAATATAATATAGTTATTATTAATAAAACATCTCATATATTTTAATTTAAGTGGTACATGTAAAAACAACATTAAAGAAGGGCCGCACACCCTTCCAGATAGAG